AAGGACACTCCGTGAACACAGAGGTGATGTGGTGGCTGCTCTAACTACACTTACTAACTAATTTATACATTCTTTGGAAATAAGCAATTATACTTGTAACACTCAAATAGATTTTATATACTACTGCTGTGAGTTTTATTTAAAATATGGAAATAACTTTTGCTATCAGTTTTAAATGTCTTTGTTTGTTATTTACGATAACTATTAATAATATAATATACTTTTAAATATTTAAAGTTAATTCACTTTTCATTATTAAAATTTCTTCAAACATTAAACATGGACAAGCATTAAAATTTTTTAATAATTTTCATATAATATGTAAAAGATTTTGAGGATATGTGAATTGTCTAGTTTAACAATTTACACTGATATTAAGCACAGCGAGGCTAAACCTTTTCGATTCATAAACCCTCAGAATTAAGAGGAAGCCTGAGGAAGATTGAGGTGGGCTGTTACTTTTTTTATAAAGAATATATACATACCTATTTACTTAATCCACTGCTATATGTGGGTGTTGTCACTTGTCAGGGATGAATATAGAAGCGCTTACATGCGTGCGTGTCATATTTATACGCTATGTTACTCCCACAACTAAGACGAATCTAAAGACTCAGGCTACTGAGCGTGTCAAAGAAATAGATAAACAAACATCATCATCATCATTACAGCCCTTCGCAGGTCCACTGCTGAACATAGGCCTCCCCTCCAAAAAGCACGGTCCTGAGCCACCTGCATCCACCGACTTCCTGAATGTCTTACCAGGTCATCACTCCATCTAGTGGGGGGTCGCCCTACACTACGCCTACCGGTACGAGGCTGCCACTCGAGAACCTTTCTTCCCCATCGGTTATCGGTTCTTCGAGCTATATGGCCGGCCCATTGCCATTTCAGCTTACTAATCCGTTGGGTTACGTCGGCATTTCTGGTTCTACTGCGGATATACTCATTTCTGAGTATCACGCAGAGAAACCCCGAGCATAGCCCTCTATAGCTCGCTGAGCGACCTTGAGCGTCCTCATACGGCCAGCAGTGAAAGACCACGTCTCAGATCCGTAAGTCACCATTGGCAACCAGTGCGTACTGGTTGTACAATCTAGTTTTTAGACTTTGAGGTATACCTGACGAGCTGAACGCTGCCCAGCCGCTGCCGAGTTGAATCCGTCGATTGACTTCTCGTTCGAAGTTGGACTTACCTAGTCGGACTAGTAACTTGTCAGGTAAACGTACTCGTCAACAACTTCGAGCATAGTACTCCTAACAACTACCGGCATAGGTGTGACATGGACATTAAACATGATCTTTGTTTTGTCCATGTTCATCTTAAGAACTATCCTTTGGGAAACACCATTGAGGTCATTGAGCATAGTGCTTAGGTCCTCCAGCGATTCTGCCATGAGGACAATATCGTCGGCAAATCGAAGGTGAGTGATGTACTCACCATCGATATTAATACCGTATCCTTTCCAGTCACCCTGTCTTACACCTCTCTGCAGTTGGATAGGTTTCGAACTCTGGTTCTGTACTCGGATAGCCATCGTAGCCTTACTGTAAAAACCCAAACCAAAATTTCGACGGAATCGAAGGCTTTCTCATAGTCCAGATACACTAGGCAAAGTGGCAGATTGTACTCTTCGGACTTCTGTACAATCTGCTGCAAGGTATGTATGTGGTCTATGGTACCGAAGCCTTTTCGGAAATCGGCTTGTTCGGGAGGTTGGAAGTCGTCAAGTCTGCGTGAGAAATGATCTCAGCACGTAGACGCGGCTATTCACATTCAAAATCAGCATTTCTGTGACAGTCGGGTAAAAATTAACAATATACCGTAGATGTCAAAAATACAAAATCACGATTAAACTTTAAAAATATGAGTGTGGCCCAAAGCCGTGGACATTTAAATGTACCTAATTTGTAAATTAGGAACATTGTGGTATGGCGTCACAGGTAGTAAAAAATAGACCTAGCTATTACAATTAAGATTTTGTATATGGCGATCGAATCTTCATCTGCAAGTTTACTCCCGAAATTGATTTCGTATTTGATGCGGTTTTCGATTTGAACTAACTTTGTTTCGATTCTGCAGGCCACCCTGTATGATAATTTATTTAAGCCTACTTCCAATAGAATCAAGTTCCGAATCAATAGAGTTTTATTCGAACTACTATCGAAAGTGTAGCTAGCGGACAATCGATTGGTGTTAGAGGTGTTAGTGTGTTAGGTGGTAGTTTTCAACTATCTACTGCTAGATGGCGTTCGTAGTCGTAAACGACAAGAATCATTTTTCTATTATAGATCGATTAGTCTCAGATTTTGAATAAAGTTCGATTGATTATGATTTTGATTCGTTCGGAAGTAAGTCTGTTAGGTACAACGCGTTTACTCCCCATCCTGCTAGAGTTCCCTCGGTTAAGAATCAAAATACAAATGCGTTGTCAACATTGGGTTAAGATGGGATGCCCTGTAACATCGGCCAACAAAAAAGGTCTACAATTCTTTACACTCAATATATAAAACCTATGTACGTATATAAAATATAATGTTTTATATACGTCTATGGCCATTACCATTAAGCAGGTGTTATATATTTATATATTTATTTTTTATTTAACAGGCTTTACGGCTCTGCGTACTAGCCCCTGTGAGCCTATCATTTCTTTCAGAATCTTTATTTTATATATTTTTTCTTCACAATATGCTGATGACTCACATTTTTGGGAGATTTTGATGACAGTTCAATCTAGCGGACTGTTGATGACGATAGCCACTCAAATTCATAAGGCGCCCAAGCGATCAAATTAACTTGAGGTTTATATCAACATCAAAGCATTTGTTGGGAGATTGATCGCGCATCGCTAGCGTACGGACGTGTGTGCATTTTTCATGCGCTTCGCTAATATAAAATGTCAAATCTGTGTGGTTGCCGTTTAGTGGTAAACGAGCTACTTTGTTTTATTCAGTGTCAAATCGACGTGATTGATGAAGTCAGTTTACTACAAATATGTGAATCTAATTTTACGGAGGAAGAAATTAATCGTGCAAAGGCGCTTCTGTTAGATTCTTCAATAACTCGACGAGTGACACGTAAAGGGGAGGGGAAAAACAAAAGACTTCTTCAGGATATCATAAAAATTCTTAAAGAAACGGAGCCTTCTAGCCTTTCAGTGTTTGTGGCGAAGAACCTCAATAGGCTCCCACCCGTAACATTTGATCACGTTGATGTAACCAGTCTTTTAAAGGACATAGTTCTGTTAAAACAAGAATTATTGAACATTAAAAACGTATTGGCTACGCAATCAGATTTGGAGAACCTACGTAAAGATTTAGAACAACAACATACTCGTGATAATAAATTAGAAAAAGAAGGTAGTAAAGATAAAAATAGTAGCTTTCTTTCTATTGAAACTCAAATAAGAAACGACCGATCACCAGTGTTACTACGCACTTTTGGAGGGGAGAGAGGGAGGAGCGCTGAGAGTGTATCGCAATCGCATCCGCGCCCGACCTCGGCTTTTGTAGCAAAGAGAAGTGTGTCGAGAGGACGTACGTATGCGTATTGAACGTCCTGCACCTACAAGTACGAGTACGGTAACAGTGTTAGGCGAGACTGACGATACGATAACTAACGACATAAATACGTCTGCACCATTACGTAGCCAAAAAGAGGTTAATCTGACAACAACATAAGGACGAAGGGTTTGTGCCCGTGTCTTATAAAAAGAAAAATAGGAAAAGGCAGGGTAGGGCGGCCGTGCAACCACTAGGAGATTCGCTTATCCGAGCTGCTCCGAGATCTCTTTGCTTATATGTATCACGTTTAGACGTTTCAGCGACTGGTGATAAGCTCGAGGAGTATATTAAGTGTAAAGTTGAACAAGCGATAAGTGTTGAACGTATTGAACCTTTTAAAGTGACTAACTTTGCTTCTTTTAAGGTAAGGATTAATTTTGACAGGAAAACATATTTTTATGAATGAGGATTTCTGGCCTGTAGGCGTAGTGTTTAGACATTTCTGGCAAAGTAATTCCGTAAGACATGAAGTTCGTTAGTTTTAATTGTCAGTCAATTAAGAGAAGTGTTGATCATGTTAGAGAACTGTGTAAAGAGTTTGATGTGGTGGCTCTTCAAGAGACCTGGCTGCTTCTCCATGAGCTATCTTTTTTTGTCAACAATTCATACCGAGTTCTCTTCTCATGGTACCTCTGCGGTCGATTCTTCATCCGGAATATTAAAAGGGAGACCATATGGAGTTGTGGCCCTCTTGTGGAGAACTGCGTTATTTAATAATGTTGACTTAGTAAATTGTAACGATTCGCGAATTTGTGCTATAAAATCGTATATTAATGGGAATTGTCATATGTATTTTTCTGTTTATATGCCTCAAAACAATCTTGAAAATTTACCTGAATTTACAAATATTTTATGTATAATCAAAAGTTTATTAGAAAATCATTTCGTAAATGTGGCTATTGCCTTAGGATACTATAATGCGAATATTAACACGTTATTTAGCAACGAATTAATAAAATTTTGTTCAGAAAATGATTTGATTTGCGCAGACTTTAAATTTTTTAAAGATTTTGAAAATATTTTTACATACATTAGTTATGCTCATGGCACAAAGAGCTGGCTTGATCATTGCATCGTAACTCGGGTCGCGTGGTCGGCGTTATCAAGAGTATATGTAATAAATGATGTATTTTGGTCGGACCACTGAATCCCCTCGCATTCGAATTTAATTTTAACATAATTGCTGTTGAGAGAATTGTGGTTAATCACGTTAAATCTAGGAACCTTGTTCCTTGGGGTAAGAGAAGTGGGGATGAGATTAAAGCGTATGAGTGGTGGTGTAGTTATCTCTTATCGGAATTTAATTGGGACTATCTGCGCTTAATTTCTTCTTGCGATGGCTGTACTTGTGACTCACACAAAGGTTTTATCGTTAGAATTTATAAGAAATTTATCGAAAGTCTTCATACATCCGCTATTAAAAGCCACGTAAGTCAAGTAGGGTATGGAGTGACATCACGTAAACGTAAAGGCACGCCGGGCTGGAATGATGTAGTAAAATCAGCGTATGTGGATGCTAAAGTAAACTTATCAAGGTGGATCGGGGCGGGGGCTCCCAGTTCTGGTTCTCTCTATGATATGATGAAGCAAAGTAGGTCTATATTTAAAGGTCGCTTAAAGTGGTGCCAGAAAAACGAAAGTAAAATTTTATTGGAGCGGATAAGTAACGCATGTATAGACAAAAACTTTTCTAAATTTTGGCAACATACATCAAAACTATGCAAAATAAGGGTTGGAGTTCCGGTATGCGTGGATGGTGTTAGCGATAAAAAACAGATAGCTAATAATTTTAAACAGAACTTTTTGTTGAATGACGGCTATTCTAGTGGTGGCCCTTCTGCGATAGATACATTTGATATGCCTGTTTTATCATATACTCATATTGATGAGAGTGTGGTGTATAATGCCCTTAAAAAGATGCACCTTGGTAAAGAGTGTGGTCATGACCACATTTCGGTAGAACATTTACGTTGCGGTGGACCCTGGGTTGTAGTGTTTCTCTCGGTTTTTATTAACGCGTGTTTAAAACACCCATTTTTGCCTCCTGACCTAATAAAATGCGTGATTAGCCCTATTGTCAAAAGTAAAACCGTTAGTGATACGATCAGATCCAATTATAGGCCTATCTCAATCGGTACAACCTGTGCGAAACTATTTGAGTCTATTATTCTGGATATTTTATCGAAATTTATTTTTATAAGTGACGCTCAGTTTGGTTTTAAAAAAGGTAGCTCTACTGAGTTGACAATTTTTTCCTTAAAACAAATAGTAACGTATTACGTGTCACGAAGAACAAAAGTATACGCTTGTTTTTTGGACTTGAGTCGCGCCTTCGATAGGGTAAACTATAGCATCCTGTGCGATAAGTTAAAACTGGTGGGTGTTCCTTCCGACATAATTAGAATCCTTATTAATTGGTATAATACGCAGGTTAATGTAGTGAACTGGGATGGCTCGCTCTCGGACGAGTTTGTACTGACTAGTGGGGTTAGGCAGGGTGGGCTGACTTCTCCTCTGCTGTTTAACCTTTACGTTAACGCTATAATTGAGGAGCTCAATAAAACGGGTATCGGCTGTCATGTTGGTGGGAAATGTGTAAACAACCTTAGTTACGCAGACGATATGGTTTTATTGAGCCCCTCAATCGGAGCCTTAAGGAAGTTAATTTCTATTTGTGAGAGATACGCAGCAAGCCACGATTTAGTTTATAATGCAGACAAGTCTGTGGCAATGGTCTTTGGAGCGCATAGTAAAGATGTTTGTTTACCATTATACCTGAACGGCAAAAATTTGAAGTTTGTGACGAGCTTTCGATATTTAGGACATATCGTATCGAGTGACCTGAGGGATGATCAGGACATGGACAGAGAAAGGCGGTCCCTTGCTGTACGTGTAAATATGATTAACAGGAAATTTAATAAATGCAAGCGAGATGTTAAAATATTACTATTTAAAATCTATTGCCAATCGCTTTACACACCGCATCTCTGGACTAAATTTAAAAAGGAAAACTATCGAATTTTTAAGGTTCAAAATAACGATTCGTTCCGAATATTGTTTCGTTTTCCGAGATACTGTAGTGAATCTAGGTACAATGTTCGCTGAGGCACGCGTACCGACGCTCGATGCTTTGATAAGACATCGTGTGGCCAGATTTAGAAGTAATCTTCTCAAATCTGGAAACACGATTATACTAATTTTAACGCAAAATTGTAGTGAAATATTTAAATATTGGTCTAGTATGTTAAGATGTAAGTTTTAATTTGTTTGATGGCATTTATTTAATTTATATTTATTTTTGTATATCATTTTATTTCAATTTATTTTTATTTTTTATGTTTGTTGATTATAAGTAATTATGTTTCTTTTTTACGGGCCTTTGTTGTCTGTCAATAAATGATTATTATTATTTGTTTCGTCGTTCTCTCTAATAGTTCACACGCGCAGAAACTTAATTCACAAAATCACATCACTTTTACGAATTAAAATCCGCTGCAAACCATTATTCAAGCGACAAAACAGGAGCGACAGTCCGTCGTCGGCCAAGTTCCCGCCAAAACTCCTTAAGCAGATGTTTTTTTTATTTTATTAACTGGTATTACGGCTCTAGGTTCTAGCCCTTCTGAGCCTGAAGTTACGATATATAATTTAATTAAAATCTTTAAAAATTAGATGTCATGTACGAAACATTCATCAAAAATTCACTTTTACACATTTACACTGATTCACAAATCACAAAGTTTTCACTTTATATATCTCACAATCACATTTTCATTTTTATATATCTTGAACACCAGAAATAAAGGAATATAAAGGTCGGAAGAATTTTTCATCAGCTAATGGACTTTGAAGAGTATCAGGAAATTTATCATTGTTAATATCTTGAATGGAATTGATGAGGAGCAATCTATTCAAACCAAATTGTTCATGTTACCACAATATTCACAATTAGCATTTTCTTTCATTCCCAGACGATGCATGTGGGCGGCTACTCTGCTATGTCCAAATCTCATTTGGTTTACAGTCTTAATGAATTTTCTATTATTAATCCCTTTTTTGTTGCACCAAAGAGTGGCTGGCGGGCTTTTTTGTATTTCATAATACCAAATTCCTTTGGACTTACTTATTTCTTCCCAGTATGACTTCCACAAGGATTTCAAATTCTTGCTAAACAAGGCATATATATCTGTAAATGGTATTTCCAGCATTGAGGAGTGATCTGAACACGATGATGATGAGACATCTCTAGTAGCAAAGTCTGCTTTCTCGTTCCCAGTTATCCCAGAGTGTGAAGGGACCCACATAAAGGTAACATTCTTCTTTACTTTATTAAGCTTGTTTAGTAAGTTTCTTATATTGTATATAATGTAATTTTTCTTATAATCCATTTTGTTAGTGTCAATAGCTAATATAACACTTTTTGAATCAATTACAATTAGAAACTGTGAATTCGCAATGTTTTGTATGTACAATATAGCTAAGTAGATTGCATAACATTTAGCTGTAAAAATAGAGCATAAATTGTGAATTTTAAAAGTTTTAGATATTTTCTTTTGCGAATCATAAAATGCTGAAGTTGTGTACTCTTCACATTTTGATCCATCTGTATAAATTGTATAATAAATATTATCAGCTAGATAACTTAACATTTCTACTTGAGAATTCACTTTTTCTTGACGTACAGAAACATTAATGTTCACTAATGCATCATAATCTATTTTATATAGAGGCCATGGTTTACTTTGATACACATTTTTGGTTTGAGTCTGTGAGTATATAACAATCCTCAGGATGTCTGATAATCGACCAGATAAAAGCATATTTCCATTAATGTATGAGCTATCATCAAACTAAATAAATTGTTTTTTGAACTGATTAATTTAATACAAAACCGTTCAGCAATTTATAGCCTTCTTAATAAAAGTGGAGGAATACAACTTTCTACTTCCATTACATGGATTGGTGTAGAGCACATAGCCCCTGTTATTATACGCAATGCTTTATTCTGGATTATATATAATCTCTTTAAAATCAATTTCTTTGCATTTAAGTATGCTAATGTACTATAATCAAAATGACTTCGAACTATACTTTTATAAAGCATTGATAACAACTTTGGATCAGCTCCCCAATGCACACCTGCTAATGATTTTAACACATTGAGACCCCTAGTGGCATTTAAAATAGATTATTTACATGTTCTTGGATAGTTAGCTTCTGATCAAGCAATATTCCTAAAAAAAAATTTTCTCTAACCAAGGCAATGGTATTGTTACGCGCTCAAGTCGACGGCACTAGCGCCATCTAGTCTCGAACCGAAGAACTAAACTTCTTGAAATTGAAACACGAACTCTCGGTACCTTGCGCGTGTTTACTTGAATATTCTGGATGTTTCGCTGCTAATTTATATAAATAGGCGCTGCAAGATGCGATCGAGGAAGTATTGGATTCGGCGAGACAAGCGAAGCTTCGGAGCGGAATAAAGGGAATCATTGTGATTAATTATTAGTGTTTTTAACTTTAATTGGTGTAAAGTGAATTAAAGTGTTAATTTAGGTAATTCTATCGGCAATTTTTATTGTCACGAACCTCAAGCTCGTAACAATTGGTGTCAGAAGTGAGGTTAAATCATGCCGATTTTACCTAAGGAGGAAAAGGAGGGTGTCCGTACCCGAAGTCAACGCCAGCAGGAGATGGACCAGAGAAGATTTGGTGGTGCAACGCCGCAGACTTCGGAGGGCCAGCGCGGTTTGCACTGACACCTGACTTAGGTGCTCTGATGGTGATGCTGCAGCAGCTGCAGCGCGGACAGGAGGAACAGGCCCGCCGATTGGAAGAGCAGCTGCGGGGCGGACAGGAGGAACAGGTACGTCGTTTGGAAGAGCAGCTCAAACGCGATAAGGAAAAGCTGATGCTCCTCATGAAAGATATCCACGTTACCTTCGGAAAAGAGATACGGGAGGTGAAAGATAAGGTTGCTCAACATGACAACCGCCTCTCGGAAGCTGAAACCCGAATCGTACCAAGTGAACAATCGGGTTGACAACGTAATGGCTGACATGAAGAAATCACTGGACGAACTCAAACTTGAGGATGGAACTACAGCTCCCGTAGTAGCTACTACACCTTTGCTACGTGGGTTCAAGGTTCGACGGTACTTCTTCCTGGAAACGGGTTTAGTGGCTGACTGTTGGCGCGTTCTTGAGCTCTCGGTGAGGAAGTGACTTATGAGCAACTCCTTGAGGCATTGGAGGCGAGATATGGCGACGCTCACCTGGAACACGTCTTTCGTGCGCAGCTTAAAGATCGCGCGCAGCGCATCAACGAAAACCTGCAAGCAGTGGGCTCTAGAGGTGGAGAAGCTGGTGCGAAAAGCATACCGGTCTGTACCGGCGCTCATTGAAGGGAACCTGGTGCAGACATTCATCGACGGCATCCGCGACCTGGAAGTCAGAGCTGCTGTGAGGCTCGGGCACTACGAGACGCTTAAGGACGCCTTGGCCCATGCACTGGAGGTGGAAGCCGTGCGACGGGATCTTCGCTCCCATCGCGTCAGGGAGATTGCAGCAGC